GAGAGAGAGAGAGAGAGAGAGAGAGAGAGAGAGAGAGAGAGAGAGAGAGAGAGAGAGAGAGAGAGAGAGAGAGAGAGAGAGAGAGCACGTACTAACCGCACAGTCTCATGCAATGTGTGAAGGCTGTTCCTGTACTTCGCAAGGCCTTCGAGATCTGGTCGCAACTGTTGACAGCAGAAAGGAAAGGAACAAAGAAAAAGGAAACAGGAGTTACAGCGTGTTCGGCAATACAGCCTGTAAATTTCCTTGCCTTTCCACAACCACACCATCTCACCATAGACAAGATGCATACCCGCACCTTTCCTTCATGCAAGTAATAATGGTGAAGCTTGATGGAGTTCCTGAACTTTGGCGTGTTCCTTTTCACACTCCGTCGGTGCAGCAGGCAGGCAGAAGAAGCAAGAGGTGCATCCGGGAAGAAATCACGAAGTCAAAATATGTCGGCTGCATCCAGACAAGATATGTCGGCCGCATCCAGTCAAAATATGCCGGCCACATCCAGCGAAGAAGATATGATGGCTGCATCCAGCGCTCGTCATAGAAGTGCTTTCACGCAGTAGCCGCCGTAGAGGTTTCACTACGGTAGAGTGGCTGTGTAGAGGACGAGTGTAGTTGGGTACACTGTGTCGCGGGATCTCCGGGCTGTGGTGGGGCGAAGTACTCATCTTGGGACTTCACTTTCACCCCAACCCACTTAGCCTTATGGTTAGGTGTTTGCCTGCCAAGCCCAAAGTTGTGTTTTCGAGTCCTGTGCTCGGCACACAACCAGTTAAACAATCCCGAGTATGAGTCGGCCGTCAGGTGCACCAGACAGTCAAATGCCTCTCTGCAGAAATGAGATTTCCAGAGGAGCAAGGCTGTGTGGCCAAATGGCCATCAGCAGCAATATCAATCTGCTCAGAACAATCTCTCCTGATGGCCACAAGGGGCGGTTGCGACAAATAGGCTGTGTGGCCAAATGGCCCAGCGATTCGGTCCACAAGGGGCGGTTGCGACAAATGGCCAATATGCTGGTAGTGAGTGGCTATTACGTGATGAAAACTGTTTCAAGGAGCTAGCAAGAGGGGACTACGGGGGGGGGGGGGGGGGGGGGGGGGGGGGGGGGGGGGGGGGGGGGGGGGAGGGAGGAGGAGGGGAGGGGGGGGGGAGGGGAGGGGAAGGGGAGCATGGAAGGGAGGAGTGGGGGGAAGCTTTTCAACAGCGAAAATATTTTTTCCGAAAACTACTTGGAGTAATAGAACTGGGGACCATCATTCTGATCACCATGCCCACTTCACCAAAACTCCTGCCTCCCTTTCCCCTATGACCATGCACAAAGTTTATAAAGAAGAGAGATACCAAATCATGTCCATAGTAAAAAAAAAACAGAAGCAATAGATACACCATACCTTCAGGGACCCGTAGGTCTTCTGGAACTATCTCCAAACACCAAACTCCAAAGTTTATCGAATGCATTAGCGCATAAAACTATCATAAAGCAAAAATGTAAGGACCTGCCCAAACACGGACTGAGAACACAGCTGATTTCTGAGTTTTGCCAGTAGAATGAATGCCTTGCTGGGATTCCCACTTTCTGCTGAGTTTTCTAAGTCTGTGTGTGTGCGTGCTTGCTGGTCTGTGCGCCTGTCTGAGTGCTTGTCGGTCTGACTGTGTGTGTGACCCGCAAGTGCACTTGTTTGTGTGGAGGCCCCCGCACGGCCAGTACTTACCTCTGGCCGTGACTTTGAGGATTGCAGCGGGGAAAACACTCAAGTGGCGGGAGTAGGCCTGCGGCACTTAGAGCAGCGGGGAAAAACACTCAAGTAGCAGGTAAGCCGGTACCACTCAAAGTAGCAGTAGATGTGTCGGGGACTGGAGGCCGAGCAGAAGAAGACAAAAGTTGGCATTTTTAGAGACCCGGTAGCGGTAGGCTAGGTCTAGGCAGGTACCAGTCCAGGTAGCCTGTAGTCTAGGGCCTGTGCGGACAATACCAGAGCCTGCAATGATGTTTCCCTCCAAAAGGGAGGAGGTACCGGTTGCTTGGAGGCCGCGCGGCCTAGGAAGTCACCGCCCAAGGAGGCTGCTGCCTCACTATATCACTGCGAAGAGCAATGAGCTCTTTCCTCATTTTGCTGCGTAAGGGACTAGGAGAGGGGAACGCCAGAGGTACTTACCTGGCTATGGTGACATCATCTTCATTGGTTTGGTGGGTGCTGCATCTGGTAGGCCTCCGTTGGGGTAGAGGTGCATCAAGAAGCTTCGAGGCAGAGTCAGGCATGGCGGCCAGAGAGGAAGAGGCCATAGCTGCGTTGTCTTTTGCACGTCAGGACAGGGCCCATAATAGTCCGCCATACCCTCGTCCTGGATAAGAAGGAAGAGGAAGGCGGCCATCGCTATGGTGGACCTCAAGTTGTGCTGGCAGTCGAAGAGGGATTCGGACATTGATTCTGGTTTGGACATTCATCATCATTATTATTATTATTATTTGTTTGAATAAGAGGGGAGGAGAAAAGGAGGAGGAGTTTGATTGGTGAAAAGAAGGGGGGATTGTCATTGGTCTTCTGGTGGTGTACATCTTCTTCTTCTTTCTTTCTTCTTCTTCTTCTTTCCTTCTCTCTCCTCTCAAGTTCATTCATTTCTTTTTGCAATTGGACGGCATTGTACTTTCTCGTGATTTTGCACTTCGAAATTGGCCAGGATCGTAAGAAAAAGGAGAAAAAAAGAGGGTAATTGCACAGGTAGTTGTAGATGGACGGGTACACACAACGCAAAACTCGCAAGGGTAATTGCACAGGTAGCTGTTGATGAATGGGAACATACACAATGGAAGACCGGCATTTCAGAGTGACAGCATTCACATACCTGAAGCCGTGAGCGGATGACCTTATGTGCACACCACCCGTCGGACAGTATTGCAAGTGTTTTTGAGCCAATTACGACAAATTAGCCCGCATTTACGTGCGCAGAGACCAAAAACATGCCACAGCACGGATACAGACAAAAGTCAGCACACCGCTGTTCTCTTTTTCAGTCCCTGTTCTGCCCTAGTTCGCACATCACAGCTGGTGGTCCCTAGCTATGAGTCCGTGCAGTTGAGATTCTTATGTGGCTCGTTCCTTCAAATATCTCTCCCACGAATTGCATTAACAGGTTAGGACTATTCCCATGTCCAAAAGATGTAGGTATTGAACAAAGTGGTATACTTGTCCATTTTCATGCCAAAAAACGGTAAAAAACCCTAACTTGCCTTGCCAAACGAGCCCAAAGGAGCAACTAGTCAACGCGATTTGGGACTGACGACAACTGGGTAGGAGGCGACTTCACAGGCTTAGGAAATAACTGTGCCAGGGTAGGACAGACATGTACGCAAAGGTAACAAAGTGGCAGAGAAGTGAAAGGGATAAGACTGGGAGGAACGGAGAAGGTTTCATGGAGCAGGGACAGATGTAATGAGGAGAACGAGGGACAGAAAACGATAATGGGACCGAATCAGTGCAGTGTGTGTGTGTGTGTGTGTTGTTTTAAAGGACCCCAGATTCTCTCTCTCATTCCCTACACAAATCATCACAAGCCATTCATAACGAAAAAGTATAGATAGGCAATATAATAGAAAATGCAAGGTTGGCCACGTTTGTGTGGTTCAGCACCAAGTGCCCACACACCTGTCTGCCGCCGAAGCGGCACACTTGCACATATACATATGTATACATATATATTTCCAACCATAAGGGGATGGAGTGTGTGTGTGTGTGTGTGTGTGTGCGTGTGTGTGTGTGTGTGTGTGTGTGTGTGTGTGTGTGTTATAGATTTTCCCCACAACAGCCCCAATTCCACCCAGATGAATAGATTCAGAATCAAAGCAGTCTTTGTCCCGTTGCAGACAACAAGAGCATTTGAGATGTCCAACATATTAAAGCAATTTTACAGGTAGACAGTTTTTTGGTTGTACTTGGGGTAGCCCTTCCATTGTTCTTGCAGCTCCCCTTTACTGTGCCTCTTATGCATAAGGCTGCCCACGTTGATTGTGGTTGAGCGGCAGCTGCCCACATCCCCATGTGCCTTCATGGCCCACTTGCACATTAGTGTGTGTGTGCTTTAGATTTTCCCCACAACAGCCCCAATTCCACCCAGGTGAATAGATTCAGAATCAAAGCAGTCTTTGTCCTATTGCAGAGCACGAGAGCATTTGATATGTCCAACATATTAAAGCAATTTTATGTGTGTGTGTGTGTGTGTGTGTGTGTGTGTGTGTGTGTGTGTGTGTGTGTGTGAGAGAGAGA